GGGGAAGAACTTCTTTGGCGAAATCTTGAGGTCGTTTTACTAAATAATGAACAAAGAAGATAATTTTAAAAAATATTCTGGACCGAACGAGATTCAAGTGGATTTATGATTGATCTGTGAACAATTGCAATTTTTTTTCTTGAATTTATATGCAAATATATAATGAATCAAAGCTTATTCCAAAATAATATGTATTTACCCAAGAAGGAACTTCCAGCTTCTGACCAAGTAATTAGCTCATTAGACTGAGGGTCATTAACCATACTATATACATAGTTTATTGCTTTAATATTTGATTAAAAAAACGCAGGATCGAGTTCTCAAAAAAAATTCTGTGGCTTACTTATAAAGTTTATTCAAAAACGCTGGAACACTTCGATTACCAGACCTTGGAGACCTTGGAGAGCTCATAATGTAATAGAATTAAAGATCAAAGTAATTTTAATTACTATATCAAATATAAGAGAAGATTTATTCATTTTGGCTCAAGTCACGTGATAGAATTGCGATTTTGGCACAAACTTAAATATTAGGTGACACAAGTCTTTTCGTAAATCATAGTCCGAGTTCCACAGTCGGTTTCGATAATAAAATTTTTGCAGAAAGTGTTAAAGTTAACATTAACGTTAATTGAAATCAACATTTTAAAAATTGGCTTAATCGATTATGCAAGCCCGATTTACTTTATTGTCCAGTTATTACATATAATCGACTCGACTAAGGAGTTCTCAATGGACTTAACAAAGAAATTGATTGGCCAGTTTGACCAGATAGATTAATCGATTTTAAATTTACACTAGAACTATATTCTAAAACCTAATTTCTCTGATTCGAGTCTTCTAATTGACGACGAAGCAAAGCAAGAAAAACGCGAAAAGGCAATTTGAACGCATTTTGGAGCATTCATAAAAAATGTTGAAGAGGAAATTTTAACATTATATCTCCATACTTTTAATTCGTCGTTCCCTTAACTAGATTTGGGACTGAATTGATTTAATTGATCAACGATCATTAATTTTTATTTGCTAGTTAAATTTTGATCAACAATGCCACAGCCTCATTTTATTTTAGACTCAGACCTACCATTATCTCATTAAATCTTTATTCTTTACTTTTACCATGTCTTACATTGGCACAAGTCATTCGGCAAAAAACGCCAATTCACAAGAGCCTAAACTACCTCCGACACTTTTCTGTTATGGCTGTGAGAAAGATAAGCCAACTCACTCGTTCTCGAAAACGCAAATTACAAAGGCCATG